ACATTCATTACATTCACACATAACTCATTTCTAAAAAATATGTTGAAGTTTGGAAAATTAAATTCACACAATACGCAATACAGAATTTTATTTTTTTCTTTGACTCCATTCCAAAAAATTCCACTGTAAAATAAAATCACAGCTTTTAGCGATAATGAAGTCAGAAATTTGTATCTATAGGGAATTCATCTTTTGATATTTATATCTCTTTTCTCTTACAATTGCTAATGAGGTTCTCTTGTTGATTGATTTATATAAAATAGCATAGTTTTGAAAATTTTAATTAATTAAACCATTGAAACATTTTTTATTGAAACTCACGGCTTAAAAAAGAATAATTTTTTTTGCTGTGCATAATAGTCAGTCAAAATCATTTTCGCAGGCAGTCATATTATGAAAATATCTACATTGATATTTAAATAATGCTTTAATATTTAAATTAAAGCAATAAAAACACGTTAACTGCTTCTCTAGTAATTGTGAATCCAAAAAATAATTTGTTTTTAGTTGCTTATACCAATGATAAAATATTAAATATCTATATGTTACTGAACACCTGTTTGGGGTGAAAAAAAATAAGCATCAATTAATTAGTGCTGAAAAATCCTAAAAAATCTTGAACGAAGCTTTCAGACAAATAACGACACAAATAAAGCTGAAATGGTTCAAATACATATTTATTTTTATTTATTTATTATTTTTTATTGCCCTTCTCGGTTGCTTTTCGTTATTAGACTAAGCAAAACACATTTTTAGTTGTTCATCCCTCAAAATCAAGACTAATTGTATTTAGTAACTAAATCAAGACTCATTGTATTATAATGCTGTTACTCCAGGCAACTCATGATATTTAAAATTTATCACAGTCAAGCTACTTTCTCCTGTATTTATCTATCTATATAATAAATCTATCATGGAAATTAACATGTATTGATAAAGCTGTAATCGGCACCAAATTTACTCTAAAATACGTGTACCTACATAAGAGTATATTTGATACCTATCAAAACTGCATCAATTACCATGATGCAAGTAAAGCTCATTACAAAAATTATGCATAACTGGTGTCAACAATAATATGAGGGCTTTTTGCGATATCCTGTGACGACTAAGTACTTTTCTTCTTAGTTTTGCCCTTTACTACATAGCTTATTATTTAACTTCAATTAGTAATTTAATAAAATTAAGTATCATTGACGTCAATAATAATATTGATATTTTTTTATGATTATTCCTCAACGAATTAGTTCCATTTCTTCATTAATTTTATTTTTTAGTATGAAACTTTTTCTTATTTTAATTACCGTAGAATTTAACGTCTTTAGTTTTTCTAAAAACGCGTTTTAAAAGCATAACAATAAACAAAATAAACACGTGATTTCTATTAATTTAAGAGATGAGATAATAATTTAGTGATGTATTTTTCGTATGGTATAACTGTATAAGGTATTATTTCGTTAGGTATTTCGCATGTATAACTGTAAACAAAATGAGTACGTGGTTTCAGAGTACCTTAAAAATATTAATCTGGTGACGTAGACCTTTATACTATTACGAGCACGTTGATCATATAAATAATTTGGCATAACGAATAAAAAATAATTCAATAATTCAGAACCCGCAATAAACTAATTTTTCTGATTTATAGCTGTAAGATAGAAAACATCATTGATGTATCTGTTATCTTTGAAATATTTTACAATACTCAATCGTTTATAGTTTACTTTTAAGCAATAGCTTCTGCTAAAACAATGAGAAAATTCCAATTCTCAAATGTCGTCGAATTTGAAAATCTAAATAAAAATTGAAAATCGGGCTTCGTCATTTGTTTAGAATTGTACTTTTTTAGCTTCATGTTGAATTTCGTACTATTAGAGTCCACCGTTTTTTTGCAATCCGATATGCAGGCGCGCCCAAATTCTTTATTTTATTATTTCTATAGGTATGTTTAGATTAGAAATTTCTTAAATAAGATTAATTTTTAAATTTATATAGTCTGTCTATCAGGAATATATCTACCATAAAAGTAATAAGATTGTATACGTGAAATTATGGCTATTCTTTATTTAAGTATGATTGTTAAACCCTAAGACGTACTAAGGCGCCTTCCAAGAACCAAATGCTGTAAAAACTGTAAAAGTATATTAATTAAGAGGGATTGGAGATACTTACCGGGAAAATTATTTAAATCTAACGAAATAAGTGACATTTTAAAAATGGAAGGGAAAGTAAAAAAAGAAAGGTAAATCAAACACCAAGGTGACGGCTGTGTGATTTCCGCGTCCGACGAGCCTGGATCCTGACCACCTCCGGATGTGAAGGGGAGAAGCTACGCAACGGTCATGAAAAGTCGTAAACCCGCTTCGACCCCTGCTAACCCAATTCTGAGCTTATTACTATCAAAATTTAACTCCATAGTCTTGAAAATTTTGAGGCCTAATCCAGAAGACAAGGGAGTTTCTAGAGCAAACTAGCCTTCACGAAGGACTTTATTATGGAACTAATTAGCATTTGCGTTACAAGGAGAGAAAAAACACGAAACCCTTCCCCGATAGCCTGACGGCAAGGAGACTCTAATCCATATCTCGGTTACCACTGAGGATATTTTACATCAGCACTGTGATAGGTACACACCGGGAACAGAATTTGTATCCCTCAGCCATCGCTACGATTCGAACCTAGCTCTATCCCCTGAGTCACGGGGGCTTTAACAATTTTTTGACTGAATGGTTTAATATTATTCGTTTTATAATTTTTGCATCGTTTTTACATTTAGTATGATTCACGGTAGTTTCACGGGTAGTTTTCTAACAGGTAGTTTTGGAATGAGTAGTATGCCTTTATGTAATTTAGAGAGACGTATGACTAGAGTAGAAATAATGCTTAGTGTGATACTTGGTAATAAAAGGGAATTAAAAAGTATTGAAAAACATGACATGTGACGTTATTTATGGATCACGTGACACTATTTATGGACGTGACATTATTTAAAATTTACTCTCCTGCGTTATACTCCTCCCACCTTTTGAGAACTACCCTTACAAGTTAACCCTTTAGCTCACATTGGCTGCTACCTCTAGCATCAAAGAATTTTTTCATTAAACAAGCAGTGGATAAACACATTAATCACGTGTTTCTATCTATATTCATTATATGTATTCGAGTTTTAGAAACTGCCTGACACTAGGGTATTTATCTACCCTTTAGAGAAAAAATCATTTTCTTTGTGGTTAACGGTAGATTCTTCAAAAAAAAATACCACCCTTCTTTTTTTTAAAAAATTATCCATTATTTAGCTTTTGCTGTATGAACTATAATAATTTCTTTTTAATTATTTGGTTATAATTACAAAAGATAAAAAAAATGTAACTAATTCTGTAAAATTATGCATCTAAGTTACTAATATTATACACCATAAGATTTCTTTAATTGACATAGCAGCGAAATCAATGCTGAAAAAACTAATAAAATACTTAAGAAGACGAACTGTCATTTTAGTAATATGAGCAACTATCATCATCAGTACCGCGAGACACTTAATATCTGTATTCTCGGTGGTCTTCGTAATTAACAATTTTTATAAGTATCTTAGTCTAATAAGGAATTATCAATTTTTATAAGTTAATAATTTAATATCAAACTACTAATGTTGTGGAAACATACACTTGATAATATAAAAACTAAATTTACTTCAAATACTTATGACGGGGGTAAAAGTTAGCAGTTTCGAATGTTCAAAAATGAGCGCCCATTCTCAAGACTCGCTGTGTGGGAATGAGCGCAACAAAAGAGATTTGAAAACAAAGAACGTAAAATACCCTATAAAAATAACAAATAAATAAAGGTAAAAAACTGAATGTTAAAAGGAATAACAAGTTTTTTTTTAGTTTTGTTTTTCAATGTTATTTATTTTTCATTTTTTCGGTACAAATTTTAATTTCTGTATCGAATCTCGTTTGTTTTCTTCATTTACTTCTAGCGGGTCATGGAGATGGACTTTTTTTATTATTTTTTTGATCACTAGAAATATATCGATTTTTTCTACATTCAAAAATTTTTTGAAGAAAACGAAATTTTTATAAGATCAAGTATAATAATCGATTAGCATAAAAGCAAAGAATAAATTCCAAACAGAACTTTGTTCCTCTTTGAATTTTATTAGAAAAATAATAACAATAAGAAAATCTTTTCATACCAGTTTTTCCAACATATTGTATTATAAGTGTAGTGTGACTTTATTAGGTTTTGCGACTCTAAAATTTAAAATTAATAAAAAAAAAGGATTAGCTTATTTCAAATTCACAAAATAATTTTGATTTCACTAATTGAATTTTGTTCTTGTAAACTCATTTTATATTATTTTACTGAGTTTTTTAGTTCATAACAATTAATGTTTCTATGTAGACATTTCTGTTAATAATTCTTTGAAGATATTTCTGAACAAAAAATTTTTTTTTACATTTGTGCTCATTTATAAAGTGATATTCTACGTAAAATGTTAATTTATTAAGATAAATGTTAATTTTATTATTATTAATTTTAAGAAATTAATCTTCAATAAAATTTTAAATGAATTTAAATCGACTACATTTTCTTATTATTTTATAATTTTATTACTTCATTACATGAGCGTAATGTAATTGATGTGTAAGAAAAATATTTTACCATGAAAGGTAATGTTAAAATTTCTAAATCTTTGAATTTTATAAAACTAAAGTTAAAACCTTTGCTTTTAACATGTAAACATTATTTACAAAACAATATACTAGTTTTTGTCATTTGCATAATTTTGAGCTTCAGTAAGTTTGTCTACCAACAACGAAATAATATTTTAAAAGTATACTTTATCGCAATTTAAATAATATACTTAAAATACTCATAAAAATGTCATGAAACAATAAAACTGCTTTATTATATAAATTATATGGTTGCGAAATAGATTCTAAATTTCGTAATTTTTTTTCTTAGAAAGTATTAAAAAAAAATCATGCACTACTGACCTGAGCTCTTTCCGCTGCTTCTAAAAACTGCACTCGACTCCCCGATGAACTAGCTGATTGGCTCCGAGGAAAAAGTATGTTTTCCATTTATTTTCTTTATGCAGAGTCTACGAGTGATTTTCTTTTTAAAGAAAATAACTCAGTTTTTATCTCATCTGGATTACTAAAGAAAAACACTGAAATGAATTTGTTTTTACGAACTGAAATTTAATGACTTGAAAGTGCAACATCATTCCAGCTGTTAGGGTGCGTCTTCTCTATTTTAAAATTAAACTTATAAATAAACAGCGATATTTCAATAAAAAATTAAGTTATACTTATATCATTTTTTAAAAAAATTTCGATGAACCTTTATATAATTTTACTTTGAAACTCTTTCTAAAGAGAGATTTTATGCTGATTTGCAATTATAAGACAGTAGCAGTCTGTTTTTTTAATAAAAACTATTATTAATTATTAAGGTAATGTCATCACCCAATAATTTTCTGATTTCCAACACAAATCACACATACACTACTTTTGAAGAGGAAACTTTTTCTTCCTAAATAATATTTAAGTCCTTTTAACAATCATATCTGATAAAGAAGAAACACATCCTTTTCTCTTTTTCAATATAAGTAAATAATATTTATAAGCATAAGCTATTTAAAAGGGTAACTCATGTACTCCTTAAATGTAAACAATCATAGGATTGGCAATCACATAGTCACCAATGCTGTCTATCTCCTTAAAGTTATAAATTTTAAATACTTTAAAGGTCAGAATAGATCAATCTTTTCCGATGCTTGCAAGATAACAATGACGTAGTAAATAAATAGACACGCGCTTAACGTACGTTCGTAAATATCAACCATAAGCCGGCAGGAAGCGCAAGAGCAAATTCAAGGGACCGCCACATCAATGTGCAGGAATCAATTCTTTTGGCGACATAATCATCTTTTTGGCGCATAAAGCAGTTTTTTATCCAAAAATTTCTCTGAGTGACTGGGTCATTAATCCTTGAGTTCTTTCATCTAGTGAATCATTTCTTAAAATAAAGAATTTTGGATGCATTTTCTTCACTGAATGAAATAGTGTCTATTTTTAAAGTTTCTTATTTTAAAAGAGGAATTTTTATTACTCAACACCTTTTTGCAGTTATAAGTAAATAAATACTAAACCGCAACAACATAAGCTAAGATGAAACTATTTATTAGATTTAACACGTGAGTTTTTAAAAATATGCGACTATAATCTTAGGATTAAAAATTTTAAGGATTGAATGAATAATGGTGTTAAATTAAACAAATATAAGGATCCATAAATGAAAGCAAAAAGCATGACCACATTAATCTTAAGGATTAATAGCTTCTATTGGTAAAAAAAAAATATTGAAGCAATAGTTAAAAAAATTTCCAGTCGAGCTGTACTATTTCCATAAATTAAGATGATTTCATATTACAATTGAAAGTGCAGTGCGCCAAAAAAAATGGAGCACATAGAATGACTTTTGATCCAATGATCGGATCTTCACTTTCTAGGACTCATTGTTAATTAATAAATGCAAGCGATGTTTTAAGTTACGAAATCAGACGCAAAAACGTACTGAATACCTTTTTTGATGGATTCAGATTTCTGACCCCCAAAATATAGGGGGTAGCCACAATTCAGAAAATATGGTCCCAATTGTTTGATCAGGAGAGCTCTCCAAAGTTTAATAAAAGGTATATTTATTATTTTATTTAATAATGGTCGAAACGATTTTAAATTATAAGGTATATAATTTATTACTTCATTTTAACGAATGTAATTTCCCATGGTAAAATACAAAACTTATTTCTATTCGATCGAATAGTTCCCGCGAAACTGAATTTCGAAAAACTCATATTTTCAAAACGTAATTTCTCAGGAACTATTCGATCGACTTTGAACAAGTTTCTTATTTTACTATGGAATATTACGTTCCTTAAAATGACGTAAGAACTTGTATACCTTATAATTCAAAATTCTTATTCAATTAAATAATTAAAATTGTCTGAAATTCATATTTTGCAGGGACTTATCTTTGGATAAACGAATTTTATAACTCAGTGCAAATATTTTTCAATTCACTTAAAAAACTTTCGAAGTATAGCAAAATACGCTAAAATTAAAATTAACATTAAGGGATCCAAACCTAGGACATTTCCTGACCAAACTATTGGACCAAACTGTTTCCCTGATTGCGGCTGCCCCCTATATTTTGGGGGTCAGAATTCCGAATCAGTCGAAAAAAAGGTATGTTTATTCAGAGAGAGTGCGTTTTTGTGTCTGATTTCTAAACTCAAAATATCGTCTTCACTTGTTAATTAGCATATTTGAGATCACCCCTTCGAGTCATTGAGTTCTAGAACGTGAAGATCAAAAGTTTTCAGGGCGGTCCGTTTTTTTTTTCTGGCACTGTACAGTAAAAGGAAAAAGCATTAGATTTCTGATTATATTTTGACGTAGGTACATAATGCATGCACTGGGAAAAACATATTGTCAAAATTACCAGAATATAATAAAATTAACCATGTTTCTGGCTCTATTGGGGACGGACCAAAAAACCAGGTAATTTTACCAAAGAGCTTTGGTAATAACGTTTTGCTAAAATTAATAATAAGAACAATCAATTAAATTTATAAAATTAACATGACTTTTAATAGCATGCTGTTCAGTAGTAGGTAAAGTAAAACTAGGTAATTTAAATCGAAAATCGCTAGTTTTAACAGTGCTAATATAGTTTGAGATTACGTAAAAAGTTCATTTTTTTCACCTCTACTTTATTTAACAAACATTTGCTAACATATTGTTCCCTATGAAAGCTGTAAGTTAGCATCTACCAGCATTGGAAATGATGGAAAAATATGCATTTGTAAATCTACAAACGCCTCGACAAGGCTGAACTAAATCAGTAACTTAATTGTTACTCAATATCTGCTACATCAGGGTAAATAAAATTACTGCATCAGGACTGCCTCCATCCTAAAATGGATGCGTAGAAGTAGCGGATTCAAATTCCACCATCAATTTACTTATATTAATTATTACGCCCAAATACGCACGCTTGTGTGACCATTACAAAGCTCAGCTAATACGCCATGGAATTATTTGAAAATTATTTTTATTATTATTTTGTTGGGTTAAATCGGAAAATTTTTTATAAGAAAACTTATTGCTTTGCTTTATTTTATATTCCTAAGTTTTGTTAAATGTCACTGAAATCTTTTTGTTTAATATTTTTTTACAACTTCAACCATATTCTATAAAAAATTCCAAATCAAATCAGAATCAGAATCAAATCAGATAAGAAGTATCAGCACCCTGGGTGCATCATCCAAAAAATTTATTTTACGGTAAAATCTACTTTTACTGTAAAATTTTATATTGTATATTATATTTCTATCTGGATCTTTCATAGTGTATGTAGTTTTTATATACGTCTTATTTCAATGAATAATCAGTAATTTATAAACTAATAATACAAATGTCTATTGAAAGGAAAGTTAGGAATTGTCAATTGAAAGAATTCAAATAAATTTCCATAAAAAAACGAAATACAGAGTGATAAAACCTGTTCTCTATTTGTATGGATACAATTCCCGTCAACGAGTAAAATAACTTCTCATTTATTTTTTGTTAGTGTGTCACGCTTTCTACTATTCCTAAGTCTAAATTCTGTTTAAGTTACAGAATTACGTTGTTTATTTTTCAAATTTACTCTGAGAAAGAAGTACGATCAAAACAAACTAAATAATGGTAAAACATACCGTATTTCTGGCTCTATGGGTAATTTTTATCGAAGCGCTTTGGCAATAATTTTTGTAAAATTAACCAAATATATATTTTTATAATTTGTGATAAAATTAATTAAATGTGGTAAAATTAGGCAATTGATACCTGAACCTTAGAGTATGGCATAAAAACCATTTATCCGGTAAAATGTATTTTTAGGTTTTGCATTATTTAGTAAATGTGTGATAATACAATTTTAAAATCTAAATGTCCGATAAAACACCTACTTGATGAAAGAAAGAATTACTAGATGAATGGTATAAATATCGTATATACCATAATTATATAGTATTTTTAACAGAAATGTCAGTACATAAAATACGGTAATTTTACCAGAATATTTCATTTTTTCACCTTGCAGGATATTAAACGCTTTACGCAGTTGAAAATCTAATCATAGATTTAAATTCCCTTTCGTGAAAATCACTCAGGACAGCTCTTCATCTACTGATCTAGATTTCTGGATATCGTTCCAAACTTTGGAAAATTCTAATAATCAATTTAAAGGTTTTTCTAGTATTCCATCTTTTTTCCAATGTTTGAAAAAAATATTATAATTTCGACATATCGCAACTCCCGCCTAACATGTTTTTATCTCCTTTCTAGCAATAGCTAGTTCAAATTTCTTCCTCTTCTCTTACTGGTTAAATCATATTCGCATGAATTTGCCTTGTTACTTCTCTACTGTCATTTAGTGTTTAGACACTGAGAAAGGTTTTTCTTTACAGAACCGATTTTATAGTATGTCCATTTATCTGTGCATTATCACGGTGTTTTTCTTTTCATATCTTAACTAGTTTTTTTAAATTTGTAATCAGTTTTTTATTATACAATGACTTTTTTGTAAATAACTTATTCTAATCATAGATTTTGTGCAAATCCCTAACTAGACCAGTTACTATTTACATTCGCTTGTTTTTTCTTCTTCTAATTTAAATTTTCACGTGTTGTCAGGCACAATTTTCTTACAGTCAACACGGTAAAAAATTCTGAATCAAATCATATTAAAAAGTACTGGCACTACATTTTATCGCAAAATCTGATTTTTCTGTGAAATTTTACAGTGCAAAATATCTGATTCACCATAATTTTTACTGCAAGGATGCGATAAGAATAAGATGATAAGAATAAAGTGATGAAACAAAGAAAAAGGAGTCTATTATTTAAGAGCTTTTTTGGTGAAAAATCATTTTTTGGGCAAAATTTAGTGTTATTTGCTTAGACGAACCTATCCAAAGTTTATGAAAAAATTTACGTATTAAAGAATTTTTAAAAACTTCAGTGCGAGTAAAATAATATATTAAAAGTATTCTATTTAATGGGAAGTTTTGAAGAAATTACAGTGACTAATACAGATGCATTATCCATGAATTTTCGAATTTCAATTTTGTTTATTTTTCAAACTCATCATATACATCAGAACTATTTATTCTATCTCGATATGTTTTGTTAAGATGAAAGATAATATAATCCTCTAAAATATAATGCCTCCAATTTTAATACTGTCTTTTTTTTCTTTTTTTTTTATATTCTTAAAAAATTCCTTTTTCCGAAATTGGGGTAAAAAGATGATGCGTCTCCAGCTTACCACTTGATAGTTGCTGATTTCAACATTAATTTTACATTAAATACTTAATATTCTTTTCATTAAAGTTTTTTAAAACAGGTTTATATTTTTATGCTCTTAAATGACTTAAATAAAATAATTTAAAGCATGGGATGCAATTTTTAAGCGATTTTAAATTTGCTTTTAAATAACTGTGCATGTATGTATGGAACATACAAAAGTAAATATATTTTAAACGTACTTTTCCCTACACTGATTAAAATGTATGATCAGAACTATCGAGTTGGGCTAAAATTTATAATACTTCTGGTTATATACTATAACACCAAGAAGTTTGGTAATTTTTATAGAAAGGCTTTGTAAAATATGATAAAACTTAGTATTTTTATCATGATACATTAGATACTTTAGAATATAATATAAAAACTATTTATTCGACTAAATGTACTTTTCAGATTTATATGTTTAACTAAATGTGTAGTAAAAACAACTATAATTTTGAAAACCTGAAATTTCGCTAAACCATTACCATATAAATGGAAAAATAACAAAATTAATAGAGTACATGCCATCTAATTTTTTTAACAGAACTGCCATTACCATGAAATGAAATCTTTTTACCAGAATTTTTTTTTACCGTGTAGGATAACATTTCTATTGGTAGTTTTGATATGACCATCTTAATTTAGAACTTTTATCTAAAAAGGCATTATTTTAATTCCCTGAAATAGCTTTCATATTTATACAACTGTTTTTAAATAACTACGCATACATATTAAAAAGGACATTTAATAGCAAATAAATTTTAAAGATTCTCTTTTTTAAGATAGCACAGCTAGTATTTCCACTTTTCCTTTTTATAAAAAGGTTTTGATATATTTATTTTGCTCCATAAGTAGTTAATATTTTTTGTAACTTTCTTTGGCAATACCATTGGCGTTATTTTTCAGTTTGGCGCTTTCAGGGAATTCCCGAGAAGTAACCCTTTCTTTCGCGGGATGCACTGTGGGACAAATCTCTTTAGCGTCTGTTCCGGTAGCCAGATCGATCGCATCAACTAAAGAAATGTATGATGACGTCATACTCCAACTAAACTATCACAAAGGTCACTGGGTTACCTCTACAACAGTGTAGTTAGAGCGTCTACCAAAGACAGAACTGGAAGGTTCTACTTTCCGGTATCCCTGAATTGATTACTTGCTTTAGCATGGGAAATACCAAGTTGCGTTTCACGTATAATGTATGAGACAAGTTTTAGGACATTTTCTACTTAACATTTCATTTTTACAAAACAGATAATAGCTTGTTGTTTAAAGTAAAAAACTGTGATATAATTATGCTATTTTTTTATTAAACTCCGGTACTGTTAACGCAACATTGATCAATAACTGTAATTTTATTTTTTTTAAAAATCATATATTGAAATAATACTAAGTTTATTAAACAGTTTTACTAAATTTATTATCTGATGCTTCGACTAGGCATTTTTTTTAAAAGTGAACGATTAAAATTTTGGGAAGAGTGATGAAACACGTGCTATTTTAAAAAAATAAAGTATTTTTATTCATTAAAATTATACTGCTATACATTATGCTTTGCAAAAATTAAAGATGCTTTATTATTGTAGTGGTAGTGAATGCGTTTTAGTTTTATATTTTAAATTATTTAATTGAATTTTAAACCAAAAGAGATTTCAATTTTATATTTTTATTAATTTTACATTTTTATTAATTTTACATTTTTATTAATTATTATATTTTTTTTTTAATTTTATATTTTTATTAATTTTACATTTTTATTAATTTTATATTTTTATTAATTTTATATTTTTATTAATTTTATATTTTTATTAATTTTTTCATATTGTACTAAGGAAAATATGACTGTCTTTATTTATTTATTTGTTTTAATTTCCTAAATACTTGAAAAATATTTCTGACATATTCGGTATCGTATGTTCTAATGTTATGAATGAAAAAAAAATAATTATGTAGAGTCCAATACTGATTCACTTTCATTTAATTTTGGTGGAAATAAAAAGAACACGTATTATATAGTTAATATATGAACATATTAATATAGTTAGAGATTACAATAATTTAAAAAGTTAAAGAAAAAAAATAATAAGCAGATTCATATCGTAATGACTAATTTTTTCATAAATAGTCTATACGTAAAATCTAAATGTAACTGCTTTAAATTTAATTTAACAAATCACATTACAAGCTGTAGATTTACTAAACTAAATATTACTCAAATTTTTGAATGAATTTTTTTACAGAAGGATTACTTACTTTTAAAATTTTTCATTTACTGTTTTTTTCTTTTTTCTCTATTTAATAACAAAATTAAATCCTCGTACGTCTAGTACATTCTTATTTATTTTTTTTTCAAAAATTAAATTCCAACTTCCAATTCCATTTTTTGCTATAATCGATCATTTTATAGGAAAATGACATAAATGAATATTTGGAAAAATATTATTCTACTCACAGTACTACGCAATATTTTTATTTCGTAGATAAAAAATTAATAAATTGCTAAACAATTAGTATTTAAAATAAAAGTGCTTTGTTTTGCGAACATAAAATATTCCAAAAAAAAAAGTCATGACTACCTTTATTTTTGGAATTTGATTGATTTCACTTAGTCAAAAATTGAATAAATTGAAACATAAATCACAATAAAATTTATCTTTAATAAATATGTGGATACATATCATTGTATTATAAACATGTAGCCAGATACAATTAGTTTCAAAACAGCATGGCCGATGTATTATACAATGCTTTGTTCAAAGTAAATGAACAAAGCATTACGCGTTCCTTTAGTTGACATTATTTTACAGCAAAATAAAATAAGCAAATATAAACGAACATGAAAGAAATTAGGAATGACAGGGCATTTAGGGTATTATTACACTGTCCACAGAATTTTTTATTTATATTTTTGTTTTGTTTTATATATCTAAAAATGCTTTAAATTATAAAAAATGCCCTTATTAATATTAAACATGACTTTAAGTTCGTGAGACAAATTTAAAATAATTTTAACTTGTAGGCACAAATTCAGGAAAAGACAGCTATCCACACCTAGTTGCCAGGGAATCCTGAAAAAAATAATAATTATACATAAAATTACATTATATCTTTAATAAATAATACCATTAATGTATAAAAATGTGATATGTAATAAATAAATGCGATAAATAAAATGCTGTTTGCGGCTTATCACAATAGTGTAGTTTGTCCCCATATACTTCAAATCCTTACGAATGGGATAAATACTTTTTAGTTTTAAGCTTACAATGACTTCTTAAAATTAAAAACATAATAAAACATAACAATATGGCAATTAATATATTAAATTTATCTACAACTTTTCTGCATAGCTTAATAATAATTATGCAATTATTAAAATTATTACAATAATTATACAATTATTATTGTAAAAAAACACAAGTTTATCCCACCCCTCTCATGATGCAAAATATGTTTATTAACGATAAAACAATTTACAGAAATTAATTGTTTGATTTTAATACCTATTTAAATGCCTGTCACATTTACATTTACTTATTTATACATCGATATGTATTATTTGCCAATCAGATATCTGATTATTCACTTACCCATAAGGCATTTGTTTCTGTCAAAATTATATTTTTACTGGTTATAAGAAATCAAATATAATTTTCAAAACTGTTTTTTTATTTAAATTATAATAGTTGAATGAGCATTAACTGAATAAACTTCTAGCAAAACAACCGAATGAATAGATAAAATATTGTCCAACACTTCAATTAATATCAAAGCATCATGGGAGAATACCTAGGTAACTAAAATGGAGTTAAAATACGAGTCGAATTTTCAGGGAAGTCGCACTTTTTTCCCTAAAATACCACCTACAATAAATACATTTGCGCATGATTGTCCGTAATTAATTTATGTTTGCCGGACGTTATCGTGTCGTTTGCTGTAAGCCAAAACAAATTTTTAAAAAATTTCGGTACGTTAATGGAAGAAATTTAAAAAAAAAAGAAGAAAAAAACATCTTTTAGGTTGACAGCATACGGTGTATCTTAGTTTTCGGGTCTACAACTAACACAATAACAAGGATGTTAAAAAGTTTATCTTATAAAATGCTTAAATTTTATCTTATAAAATGTTTATATGTATTGTTTTGTTTCCATAAAATTTGCTTTAAATACTCAAGCGTATAGAACACTTTTGAAGTTTACTAAAACAAGTTATTTCAAAACCATGCAATAAAAAATTTCGGATCAAACTACGATATAAATACCGTCACTCAGAATCGGTACATTTTACCGTAAAATCCATTTTTACAGTAAAAAGTACAGGTATATTTATTTAAATGTATGTTACGGAACAAACAATCTGTTGCGCTGTAGTTTTTTCCGTAATAATTACCTCACAATCACTGAATCATTCTAATTAAATAAGTATTACTGTAAAAAATACAGTATTATATTTTATGGTAAAAATGGATCTCACGGTAAAAAGAATTTTAGGATTTTTTTGCTTACGGTTCGTACTATCAACCATCAATTTATGATCATCGATATATCCAAACTGGTTTTGATAAATCGATATTACTCAATCATTGATTTTGCGGATTTTATTCAAGTGCATTGCTTTTACCTTACCTTAATATTGATTTGAGGTCATCTCACTATTTATGTTTTCTTTTTTATTTCTTTTTGACACGGATTTAAAAATTATTTATTAAGATGGAAGTTATATAATATCGTGCATTTGAACGAAAATTAAGTAAACATACTTAGGAAAGTTTTTCTTATTCAGTATGAAATCAAGCAATTTATTCTTCTTCTTCCTCTTCTTCCTCTTCCTCTTCGTCTTCTTCCTCTTCTTCTTCCTCCTCCTCTTCTTCCTCTTCTTGGGCAGGAGGTGGAGTGGCTTCTCTAGGAGGAGAGGGTTCTGGGTCCAAACCAAAGCCAGGTGGCTCTAGATCCAAAAGATCGTCGTCTTCGTATGTTCTGTGCTCAATCACTTCCTTGACTTTGGGAGCAGTTGGATCCCATTTGGGAAGAGCTTTTGGACCACGTTCTTTAAATTGGTTCATTCGCTCGGCCCAAGTTTTTTCATGTATATCCTTTAATGTTGTCTCTAGGCCCTATTTGTAGTTCATAACATATTTCAATTATTTAGAAAAGCATATATAAATCAAAATTTGTTTAAGATTAAAATAAATGAGATGTTCAGGTTTCAGTGAGGCAGTTTTTCAAAATTTTGCAGAGAGAAAATTTATTTTACAGTAAAACTATCTTTTTAAAAATATCCAAATATTTTATATCCAATTTTTATCCAATATTTTTAATTTCCAAATTTGAGACTTTTTGAAAATATTTTTTTCTTCCAAATATTTTTCATTTTTATTAAAATATTTTTTCGGATATAGCTGGCTCTGATATGAACCTAGTTGAATTTGCACTTTATGGTACAAAAGGAAACTATTGGCACTTACTTTGTACTTTATAGTTCTTAAAAAATATAAATTATTTTGCAAAGATTTGTTTTTTTTTTAATAAATATTTTTAAGGATCTTATATTTATAAAAAAATACGTTTTCGAATAAAAATTATCAATGAAATTGATGAATTGAAAACTTTATTGTTTGATTATTTGATTGATGAAAAACTTTAAAGCTTACATTTTAAAGCTGGTTGGAAATGAGTAAGTCCAACCGTTTATGTAGAAAATTGCATTATAAAAAATATTCAGTCATTGCATGTAAACATATAATAATTTTAATTTCTATCAATTTAAACTTAGTAGTCTAGATTTGAAAAATATTATTACATAAAATAATTTTTTTTAAACTGAGATAATAGAATGGAACAATTTGAATTTAACTGAAAAATTTGAAGAAAAAAAATTTAAATAGAAATGTTAATAATTGCTTGAAAAATGATAATATATTATGTTCGGAAGTGGCCCAATTTCTAACTGTTGGTTAAAGTTGAATAAAAAGTACCAAGTAGCAGAAATGTGACTGCTACTTAGCAACCTTATACAGTGATATGCCTAAAGTTTTCTACAAAACTGCAGTTAGCACATTTTGCAATTGGGCAACTCACATATTGATAACTAAATTACATATTATGCGTTGGAATATTTTAGGAATTCCTTTTCAATCTTATTGAATAGCAGCTCAACAGTTCTAAAGCGGATTTTAAGGAACATTTATTGATTTTTAAATAAATATCATAAGGAATTTATAAGAAAGAATGAAGATTAAATAAAAACTTTTTGGATTTTAATGCTTTAAACTATTTATATACATTTGAAGTAAAAAGATCTTCAAAAATGTACGGGAAACCAGTTGCATTTATAATCCTTAAAAAACAATATTAAAATTTACGAAGATACTTAATACCTAATCAGATTATTAGTGTCAAGTAATTATTTTTTTTAAAATAAATTACACAATGGCAATAAAATAACCGTTATATTGGAATTAAAATAGCACAATCATATACAGTTAAACATAATTGTTTTAATAAGGTGTAAAGGCATATTTTGTTTAACAAAAAAGTATTTTAAACACTTTCTCAAATACGAACTCATGCATAACAGCTTAAATCAGGCACTTATGGGGCTTAATATTTAATAGAAACTGAATTAAATTGGAAGTATACTGCATGTATACATGCATTTGAAGTTATATGAGAGTTCTCATGCATTTTGAGCTCATAAAATATATATTAAGTGTTTCTTTTTTTTAATTTTTTATTTTTTATTGCCATTTCCAAGTAGGTGGGAAAAATATTGACTGACCTTAAATTGCATTAACAAAAACTCCAAAAATATAACTCTTTAAAATACTATTTGTATTAAAATGGTTGATGCAAAAATGTGATCAAACCAAAAATCACTTCAAAATATGTTTCAAAATTGTATGAAGAACAAAAGTTTCAAAAATAATTAAAACAAAACATATTAATTTCAAAAAATACAACAAACAAAATTCGTTGAACAAATAATGCGTATACTCAAAAAGTAATCAAAACACAAAAATACTTTTTCACGTAACTCTCGATGACTCGAATATTCGTTAAGGTAAGGTCTTTCATTATCGCTAAATTTTCATTTGAAATTTATATTATTTGCAGTAGATTAAACCATTTTTCTGATGAATCAAAACATTTAAAGTATTTTCTAGCTAAAGATTAAAAAAATTCAAATATCATAGAAAAAAGTTATCTATCAGGATAAATTGCTTGGCTGTGCATTTATTGTGATAACTAAATCCTGAATAGAATTCCTGGAATAGAGTAAAGGCCACTAGAAATATAGCAAAATATGAAAGCCATCTAAAGCTACTTCTTTATAATCTCTGGATTTTGAGTATCATTAAGTGTGTAATCCATGCAGAAAGGTTGTCAAAAAATAAAACGTAGTATTATGTAGTGAAAGATTGCAGAAGCATTTAGTAACTAATCCATAGAGCAAGATATCTGCATACCGTGCACAGACTAGAAATAGAGAGTAAATAGCCCTAACTTAAATTAATGTTCAATAAAAATTTGAACAATTCGAAATAATTTACTCCAATTCCATTTTTAAAAAAGAACTAGAACAATGAACCTTTGCGCGATGTGCCCATGTCCGAAAGGTTGTGAGTTCGATACCAGCCGGCCAAAGACTCCCTGTGTAGTAAATGGTGACTTGTGCATGTTAAATCTGTCGAGTCCCAAAGTCTTCCATATTCCTATAACAAATCAATACCTCTGAGGCTACAAAATTTTAGATTGATCACTTGCTGATTCAGGTCAAAGTAATGATCTGTAGATGAATGAATGGATGTATGAATGGGTCCAAGCTCTAAACGGGCTATGACACGTGTGCGGCTGAATTAATATTCGTTATAGATGGCGCCCTTAAAAAAGAAGAAATTCGCCCTCTACCCTGAATTTTCTTTTGGCAAGCGGCATTAGAAATAACAATAACAAATCACCCTTTTCCACTAGTTAATTATAGAAGGTTTTTATCTCTATATAAGATAAATGCAAGGTGGATTAATTAAAACGCCTTCAACGAAGGCAATATGCTTAAATGCCTGTAGACTTACAAAATTACAAGACTACGCAACTGAACACTGATGACAGTAAATCAGAAATGGATCAGCTGTTCAACGCTAGTCATAAGATAAAATAAGTCATAATAAACAATTTAGAATTAGAATAAGAGAATCTGGCACTTTTTTCGAGTATAGCGACCGAGTTTATCAAATCAAAGTGATGATTAGTCGATTCGCAAACTACTACCACAATTCGCAGTACTTACGAAACTTTTCCCCAAATCTAGGTTCCTATGGTTTTCTTGAGCCATTTGGCCAAACATGAGATTGTTTTCGTTGTTTTTCTCTCCATATAACTCAAATGAGAGTTAATTTTACCCAAATAGTCATCCACGAAGGCCAGATTTTTCCAAATACTTGATTCAAGAGTTCACTTTTTTTCTTGATTGATTTCAAAACAACAAGCCTTATAGAATATTCCTCAGCGAACAGCAATCCGCAATAAATTAATACTTAATATTAATATTTGAAATTGTTATTTCTTAGATACTTTTAACAGTTATTTTAAAATTTTATTAACTGGTTAAAATAAAATTATAGCCATCCTACTCTTAATGGAACAATAATAAAAGGGCAACAGCTTATAAATTTTAAATTTTGAAACACGCTTTATAGTTTTTAATAAAAAATTTATTTATAACTGCTCAACTCAGAGAAAAATTAGAAATTATTTTAAAAAAATATGCTTTTGCAGCTAATTTCATGATTATACTAATAATAAGCTCAAGTGTAGAAAATAAGCTAGTTTAACATGAATGCATTTCTGGATTGTAAATGAAAAAAACCGTGAAACCAGAAGAAAATGCTTATTATTCCTTAATAACAATTCATTTAAAAAATTTTATTAATTTGCTATAAATTTGATGCACTTACTTGCAAAATTTACGTTATAGTTTAAATGATTCAAAAAATTTGTATTTTTATAAATTTCGAGTCATCGAGAGTTTCGAAAATGTCGAGGCGTGGACAACGTACTTGTTTCCCTAAATTTAAACTAACGGAATAAATTAAACATAGGACGATAACAGAAATACTATAACATTCTAATATAATGGGTGTAAACATGCAACCAGTTCATTTAAAAAAGGTAACTGGATAAGAACCTCATTCACTAATCTTTTTTTACATGTTATATTGTTGGAAAATTTTAAAAAAGTTATAATACATTCCGCATTTTGATCAAAAATAAAAATTTGGTTTTATAAAACTAGATGTTTTAAAATTAATATAATTTGAAGTTTTGAATCAAACACAGTTAAAAAAAATTTGATTATGGATTTAAAAAGTTTAATATGGGGCATTTAATTATTAATTTTAAAGACCGTTCTCAAAATTTAAATAAGTTATCTCATAATAATTAAATTAACATTTAAAAAAAATATTTGAGATATGTCAGTAGTTTAATTATATCCATTCAAAAATAAAAATATAAAATAGGGCGAATGAAAAAAAGAATTAGCCTTTTTATTTTTATTTTTCATGTATACATAAAAACTTTATTTATTTTCCCTTTAGCAAATCTTTATAAATTTTGTTATCAAAAACTATATGATTAAGAATTGAAAAACTAAAACTGGAAATTTCCAAACTTAAACCTGCACTGTTTAACTGAAGTATAGTAAAAAATTATCGGAAATATTTTCACTTGATGAAGATTTTAATTGTTAAAAATTTAAAAATAATAATAAACGTTATTCTTATTGTTGCAAACATTATTCTTATTCGATTCTTATTCTTTATTATTCTTGTTTTAATTTCGAAAAAAATAAAAAAATTATTAGTTTATTTACACAAAACACAAGGGAGACAATATATACAAGGCAAACGTGTCTATAGGATGCACAAATCTAAAACTACATTAATATTATTTTATAGAATTTGAGTTAGGGTTTTCGAAATAAGGTGAAGAAAACCTAATGCTAAATCTATTTTCAAATACATACACCGTCAAATAATTGTTTCTTGTCAACATACGTCCTCCTGTCCACTCGCCTCTCAAATTTGCTTGCAACATGAATTTTTGGCTAAGACAAAACAAGGAAAAACATTTAGACACAAAACTAAAGTAATAAAAAGAGTGTGACAATGAAATTTAAACATTTTGGTGTCGTTTCAATAATTAATAAATTACAAACCAAAACGGATCGCAATCTATTGGCAAAAAAAGTTTTATTTCAGAAATATTTTTGACAGATAAATCACCAAAAAAACCATTTTAAAGAAAAACATCTTAATATTTAGATATTATAACTAAGTCGCCCCGGATTTTCGATGACATTAGCATTTTTTGATTTAGTTCTTCTTTTCGGGCACTTTTTGCATTTTAGAGCATTTTCTAAGTATTGGGGATTATTCTTGTATCTGTTTTTTATTATTTCTTTTGCTTTGAGTCATCTTATTACATTAAATGTAATAAAAAAATTGTTTATGACTCAACATATTTTCCATTCTTTGTCATTTTTGCATATAGCATTTATTACAAAATTTTATGAACATTAAAAATGTATTGCATTGGTTTATTTGCTATGACTTAAATGAACATAACTTTAAGGAAAACAAATATTATATAAATTTATTATTTTTACTTAATAGGGCATTTTTTGAACGTTTAAGGGAAACTTTTGTATTTCAATGGTATTTTTTTTGCATTCTTAATGGTATTGTTCTTGTTTTTTAATGGTATTTTTGCAATTTTAAGGCTATTCTATAAATTTTTACTTCATGAAAGTGGTTTTTTAAATCTGGCGGTTAATTATTTTTAGAATTCATCTTTTAATATTTACATTTTACAAACTTTTCATTTTGTAGGACAAATTATTTTAGTTTAAACAAAAAAAAATTTAAAAAATACAATAAAAAATGTCAGTATTTTATGATTAGATAGTTTAAGTCATAATAAACATATTTTTGAAAACGTAAAGTAAGTTTTATACCTTAAAAGTTTCCACAAAAGCCTAAAGTCAGAAAAGTGCCATCCTAAACATATATTCATAAGTAGAGTGTGAGTATTGATAAGACATCAAAACTACTTCATTGTCACACTTGAATCATTTTTTCACACCCACTTACGCTTTCAAACCATGACTTCTTATCACCAAATGACCTCCTATCCAACCGCCGCTCATATTTGCTGGCTACCAAAATCTTCGGCTTCAGGTGGTATGGGATGATAAATGGATTAAAATGAAGGTAAAATGGGTAAGAGGTTAAAAGGTAAAAATAAGTATGCTTTTGAATTAGATATGTATACATTTAGAATTGTTAATGCATGTTTGTACATTAAAAAAGGTTAAAATTAATTTTATATTCTATTTATTTTATAATTTTATATCCTTTGTCGCCATTTCCTATTTTATATACAACTAGATGAGGCTAGTAATTTAATTATAAGAACTGTACTAAATTTACTTTAGTTTGAAGTAAATATCACTTACATCCAAAAATATAACTGTATTTATTTTATTGCTTATTATTTATTGAATACATATTTTTAATATATTAAAGATATTTCTGAAATATAAATACGATATAGCTGCTGTGTTTAAGTAAAACTATCCATGTAGTAATTAACAAAAATTCATTAGAATATTTCTTAAGTTTCTCTATACAATATCCCGGTAATGTTTCTTGCATAACTTTAAAAATATCTAAACAAAAATATTCATCTATTTAAAAGCATACCAGAATATTCAGGAAGACAATTATTGTTTCAGTTACGTGAAGTTTTTAATTCAGGGTTAGCAAAGTTAAATGAGAAGTTTGGACTTAATTCCAAATGTTATTTGTCAGGAAATTATATAAGGTTCTTAAGATAAAATTATAAAATAGGATTAAAAGATTAAAATTAGAAAAATGAATGGGATGAAAATTTATAAGAAATAGTCATACTCAAATGAACGCAAAATTTTAAATTCTAATACTAAAATTCATTTAATTTAGTGAAATAGGTGAGAAAAAACAATAAGTATAACCTCTTACTAAAATATTGTACCAACTGGTGTAATAGAAACATCATATTGTGACATCAGAAATATTATAAAAACATAATATCAGATATTTTAAATGGAATACAAGAATTTAACAATGCTAAAATTTTTAAAGCTACGTTAAAAGCTAGAATTTTTAGTTTGCATTTAAAATCCTTAGTAAAAAATTTAAGCCTTTCTTATAATTTTATAAAGACATGTAAATATTGAAAGGCATATAATAAAAATAATAAATAATTCAAATCGATCAAGAAAGGTTCAATAAATATTCAGGATCAAAAAACATTCAAGATCTCTTAGAAAACTATAATACACGCACGATATTTATTTATTTTTTATATTTATTCCTTTATTTATTAGTTTAAGCAACTTTTTTCCCTTAAGACTCGTAACAAATCTACGTTTTGTAGAATTAAACATTCAGTAGTAATTTGTATGCCTATAGGTTTCCTTTAAGAAATAAGAACTTTAAGAATAACTTTCCGTTAATAGATAAATTAATAAGTTTTATTTACTGCATATACGCTGCAAGTATATAGAACTCATAAAAAAAGTTAAAAATTCGCGAACACAAGGAAAATAATAAAGATTAATGAAAAGAGAAGGAAAAAAATATTAAAATAAAATATTTTTAAAATTTATTTAAACAAAATTTTACTTAAAAAGAAATTTAGTTAAAATAAAAATAGATGTTATGTAATATCCTTAATAAATATATATCCTTATCTTTTCAATATTCTTTATTATTTTGCATGCTTTTTTTATATTTTTGACTTATTTAAAACGTGGTTAATTAACAATTAACATGCATTAAAAACCACAATAATCAAAGTATCTAATTTTAAGATATAAAGTTCCATTGTCTTTAAACTAATTTTTTAACATTAATTTAAATACTCAAATATTTCTGATACAGTAAATTGTAACTTGATTTTCATAATAAAATATTATAACTAAACATTTTAGTATCAAATTCCAAAGATAACTTACTGGATATTTTCCTTCTGCTTCTCTGTAAAATTAAAAAAATAACAGTTAAAAACATTTTATAGCTTTATTTAATATAGTTTAACATTTTTTATATTGCAAGCAAATAACACTAACAAACAAAACCAATAATAATATAATAATTACTTACGCAGGATCAATTCCTTTTTTAAGAGCCTTTTGTCTGTTAATTTGTTTTTGCCTTTCAGTAAGTTCTCTCAACTATGAATAAAACACACATGGAATTTTAATTGTACATAAATGTTTGAAGTAAATCAAATTCACATTCAAGTATTTTAATGAAATATTTTAAACCCTATTATTGTAATAAATTAGTTATGATTCAAAATCAAGCAATGAACCACTATTCTTTAATAAAAATGCTCTATACTAAACAGAGTGTCAAAATTTAAAACAATGTCTTTATCGAACTTAATTTTATGAACAATAATCTTATGATAATTTTAACATTACGTCAAACATTTGTGCATAAAATGTTTGACGTAAATCAAATTCTCATTTAAGTTTTTTAATGAAATATTTTAAACACCTATTATAATAAATTAGTTATGATTCAAAATCAAGCAATGAACCACTATTCTTTATTCAAAATGCTCAATATTAAACAGACTGTCAAAATTTAAAACAATGTTTTTATCCAACTTAATTTTATGAACAATAATCTTATGATAATTTTATAATGCTTAACAAATGAGCGATTATTCTTGAATTAATGAACTAGAACATAGTTTACAGCTTAGGTTATGTTATTTCCTAATACTATGAACTTAATTTTATGAATAATAATCTTATGATAATTTTATAATGCTTAACAAATGAGCAATTATTCTTAAATTAATGAACTAGGACATAGTTCACAGCTTAGGTTATGTTATTTCCTAATGCTATTTAGAAGATTATTAATTCTTATTTTAAAATTATTTAATTATAATATTATACAATGCCAACCAATGGTCTACATAATTGGTTATGATTTAAAATATCAGTATTGTTTCCTATCATTATTAAGTTAATTAATATGAACAAAATATTAAAAGTAAGAATATGATCAGTTAGTTTTAATTTAAGGTATAGCAGCAAAATTTAAACAATCTAAAAATAAAAATTATGCTAATTAAAATTATAAAATGATAAAATTAACATTTATATGAGAAATAACTAATAAATAAAATATGAAATTAAAATAAAAACTCGCTATTACTTATATGTTCCCATGATATTAATTCTAAATTTGTTTGACCTTAGACCCGCTCACTAGGGATGGTCAGAAGTCAAATAAATTTAAGGAGTAACTAATATGAATCAGTTGCTTTTCTTTTGCATAACTTTAAAATAAAAATGAAAATTCAGCTTTCTCATTAAATGATATTACAGTTAGTATTACCATAGTGACTATATGTTACACAAATAAAATAAAATCTAAAATAAAGAATGAAAAATTACGACGACCACATTAACAGAGTTCTTACATCGTAATCTTGTCTCTTCATTTTTTCTTCTAAATCATATTTATCACTTTCTAGCTGCACTATTTTAGCCCAGAGTTCTTCGGCTGTACCACGTAATTTTTCAGATCCAAGCCCTTCAATGTTCAAAGGTTTAACACGATATGTCAAAGCAATTTCCTTATCCTCGGCCAGCTGTTCTTTGGACTTGCCCAACTCGCTGCGAGCTTGTTCAACGTTGCTCATCTAGAAAATAAGAATTAATATGACGTTGTTTCTTTGAAGTATAATTACTAAGTAAAATTTCAAGCTGCTTGATATAAAAATACTTTATTACTTTGTCGAAACCAGCAGGGTGTCCGGCTGCAGGGGTCACAACTCCTCCGTCTTTCTTTTGAATGACGAAGTTTGGCTTGACACCTTCCTTTTGCTTCTTCTGTTCTTCGAGCATGGCTTGCCTTTTCTTCTCAGCGTCTTCTAAACGCTTACGCTTAGCCTCAGCATCCTTTTGTTTTTTCTCGTCCTTGACAAATAGAACTAACGTTAGATAATATCATTGACATAATACGAAATGTTAAAATTGTCATAATATAAGTTGTTAAAATTGGCATTTTATAAATTTTTCACATTATCATGATATAAATCGATACGATTACTTGCTAGAAAATACATAGCCATAGACACCAAATAGAGGCATGACAATTTTAGAATACAAACTGGCCATGGCTACTTGTCTGAACATTTATTCAAAATAGAGTATTCTCTCCCTACGTATGCTCCATTTGCTAAGCAGACATTATAAATTTAGGTTATATTTTGATCTGTTAAGCATTAGAAAGCAGCACCCGGAAAAACTGAGAGATTAACAAATTATATTGAACAGTAATCAATTCACAAGAGCAATAATGAATTCTTTATTATCTGACTATAATTAAAATAGTACTTAAAGTTTCTTGTATCAAAACAATTAACGTTTAAAACATGCTGCATGGAATTTTTAATATAAATACCAGCTTTTATCTATTTATTCATTTTTAACTAAACACGCTATTTTGCTTTTAGGCTATCACTTAATTCATACTGCATTTAAGGTACTCCAAAGATAGAAAATGAGTTTTTAATTCAACAGCATTGCGCAAAATAATGATAATCTACATATTTTAAATTATTCAAGAAAGTATTTTATTTGACCGCCATGGTTTCCATGTAAAGCATGTATCTGCGTATTACGGCACCATTCAGTCAATTTTTATCATTACAATTTTAAATCAATTTAAATGTTTAAAAGAGAGGTTTCGTAAATTCTTTATGCATCAAGTAGTTAAAAGATACTTAAACAATCAAAGTAAAATAATGATAATAATATCAATAAGAGTAATAATAATATCTATAGTATTTATATTACTATAAAAATACTCTTGATATTCATAATAGCATTTTTATTATTATTCTCATTTCTTTCTTACTCTATTATTATTATTATTAATATTATTACTCACAATTTCTCTTTGCCTTTGTTCTTCCTGCTTCTTTTTCAGTTGCATCATTCGTTTCTCTTGCTCGGCTCTCGTTACCTTACGTCTCGCCTGTTATAACAATTATCAAAACATTTTAGTTAAAAAGTTGAAATACTTGAAATGTAAGCAATACATTTGGATAATATTAATGCAAGGAAGATTCTATAGACTCTAAAACATTTAGACTCCATATCGTTCACTAAAAACTGAATTTGTTATCAAAATATAGATATAAAGAAAATTTCTGTGATTTTATTAAATTATAGTATTTATCGGAAGTAATGATTCAACCATGAGATAAATCATAATTAATACAATGAAAAATATCATTTGACTAAACAGCATTTAATCATAATTATAATATGCATTTTGTTAAATCTTAAAAATTGAAAAAAAGCAATTTGTTAAATTAAAACTATTTTTTTTTAAATATTTGACAGGGTAACTAGTAATAATATGCAAATCTTGAAAAGAAGAAAAAAAACTATTTTTTGCGATTACGATTTACTGAGTAAAAATAAATGAAAAGTGAAATTACAAAATAATTAAAAGCTATATTCCACGATAAAATCTAATATTAAATTCAATTAACACAAGAAACAAATAAAAAATAAATAAAAGAAACAACTAAACGAAAAAATTAAACAAAAATGTAAGTTTTATTAAATTACAATGCCACTCAAAAACTACAATAACTCAATGATTGTCATAAAATAATTAATTATTTTAGAAAAAGTATATAATTTAGTAAAGTAAATTAGTTAGATTTAATTAAAATTTAAATTACCGAAATTAACGCACATCGCCCCTCTGCAGATCAATATTTTAAATGTATTTATTTATTTTTATGCATTTTCATTTATACTTATTCATTATTATTTTTTACGGCTTTCGTACGTGATTCATTATTTCTTTAAATCTGTTAGAAAAGCATTGGGCAGACAAATATAAAAAGAAAGGTTAAAAACTACATGATTTTCTACGATAGAGTTTTCCCAATATAGATCTAAAGCAGGATTTCACAATAGTTAAATTAATCAAACGATACTGCTTAACATGTATTATGCATTATTTTTATATATTTTTAATATTTTTTTCTTTAACTTCATCAGATTATATTATCATAGAGTTATTAGCCGCATAAATAAATACACACTCATTATTTTCCTTTTCTGAGCTTTTTTATATGTCCTTATATTTTACATATTTTTTTAAGGTATAAAAGGAAATGATTAATATTTTACGCATTGCCTAAACATTCTGAATGATAACCATAGACAATAATAATAGATTAATATTTCACACATTGTCTAGGCATTCTTTAGAATAAATTATAAAAAGCATAGAAGAATTCTATACAAGGATACGGCTGAGTATATACTATTAATTATTATATTTTAAGATTTTCCTAAGAACAAAAAGCATTTTGTTGAATACAGTCATTTCACACATTACATATATATTTTATATGGCTTACTTGTCGTTCTTTAAGTTTCTTGAGTTCCTCTTCTTCCTTTGATCTTTGTTTCCTCCATTGCTCAATGTATTCAGCCCACATGGCTTCATCTTCTTCCTTCTTCTTCCTCAACTTCTCCTAAAACATTGATATAAAAAATAAATAAACCAACCACAAATTTACTCATGCGTTTTTTGTATACATTTTTTTTTAAATTTACTTTTATTTTATAATTTACATTACATAAGAATAATTGTTTATGTTTTCCCTTCCAAACTGCTAAACAGCGTTTTCAATGTTTTAAACTTTTTCAGCAACTGAAGCAATTTTATAAATATTTGTTTTTTAACCACTCTGTTAAACTTTAGTTTACTTTTTTTAGATTATAATGCTTCATATCATTTCAAATCACGATTGTAATTTTACTTTTTGCTGTTTAGAATTTTTTCACAGGAAACTTAAGAATTTTTCTTGTATCACAAATGAAATACGGAAAAAAGGAATAAAGTATAACTGAGGTATTCGGTTGAAATTGTTTCAATGAATACTTGGATGGATCTTATTTTAGGCATCCCATACTATCAGGTTCATATACGAACAAATATTTTTGCCTGTCTAAGCTACAAGTATCAGCTTTTATAGCTATTAATTTATGCATTATTCTGAATAATCAATGAATGTTCACTAACTTGATTGGTTAGACAAAACTAACAGTGCCTGTTTAATACTATTTTAAATTTATTGCATGTAACTTTTTTCTTTAGGATTAGAAGCTGACTAAAGATCTAAGTTAAGGTATGACACTTTCCAGATTGTTCTATAATAAAAAAATGATACAATAAAGTGGGCTAAAGAAGACAACGAAAAAAATTGAAAAACTATTGATCTAATGAAAAGGAGTTTTCCGTTTTTGTTTTTTAAAGGTTGACAGAGACAAATTTAAAATTATTTATTAGTTTAAGAATTTAGACGCAATAATATCTTAATAGGTGATTTTTCAATTGTTGCAGATTTTTAACTAACAAAATAAGGGGTCAGTTTAATTTTTAAAACATAGTCCCAATTGCAAAAAGAAGTCTGGGCTGCTTAACTTTATTTGGACATTTTGTGCTTGTATACTATATCTCAGTAAATCATTACGCGATTGAAAAATAATAAATTTGAAATTTTGTTTAGCCAAAATATTTTTTTATTATAAATAATTATTTAAATGACTTGAAAACATAATATGCTTTGAATTAAAGGATTATAAATTACATATATTTCTACATCATATTAATTTAAATAATTTTAAAACCCGAAATCATATAATAGAGTATAATGTGATATTTTCTTAAATTTTCTATATCATGTAAAAAGAATTGTCCCTATACTTTAATATTAAGAAGAATTGCAAATATAAAAATAATTTTGAGCATAGTAGTCAAATTATTAAAGCAATATTTTTAAGTTGCTGTTCGATATTATAATTTGAACTTTAATAAAACGAATACGAAGAAAAAAGTATGTTTCTTCAAGTAAGGTTTTTGATTTACTTCGCGACTAAAAGAATCGTTTGCACTAACTATTTAATACACTTAAAGTAATTATGTAACATTGAAATGCATTAAATGAAAATATTATTACTAAACCAAACACTAGTGAGAATGACTTTAATATTTATTTATATGTATCAAAAATACTGCTTTAATTATAAGATTAGTACATTTATTCAAAAGTAATTATTTTAAAAATTAATTTAATACAATAATAATTAATTGTTAATTGATAAATAATTGAAAATGAATTATTAATTAATTGACAAGAATTATTATTATTATTAAAAATTAATAATAATGATCAAAAAGAAAATTAAAAGAAAATTTTTTAAAATAATAAATATTTGCTGACAAAAGAATTATGAAAAAAATAAATTTTTTAATTACGTTTCATTCCAAAAAGGAATTGTGTTATTACAAAAGTGTTTTAAAAGAATTTAGATCTAAAACGTTTTTTCAATTAAAAAGTAACTTTAAAAAAATCTTTATCCTAAAATGTTTTTTAAGCAATAAATGATGGAATAGTTTAAAAAGTTCTTAACCTAAAATTATTTATTATCGAAAAAACTATCTTTTTTTTAAAAAAAAAAGAATTAAAAAATTAATCGATAGTTTTTTCTTTAATAGTAAAAAGAAATATCTTACTTCCATTGCAATTTCGGCTTCAGTCATTTTCGATTGAGATTCTTCGCGACTGTAAATAATTTTTAAAAATGTTAGTTTTGGCAAATAAAAATTACATTTGAAAACATTAAAGAAATTTAAACTTATCTATCAAATGTATGGAATATTCTTTAATTTGTTTTAAAAAGAAAATATGGTTATATTAATTTAAAGAAATGTTTTCTTAAAAATATTATTGTTCTAAAAATATTTTTAAAAAAATCTTCCTCACTCTTTAAAAGCTTAAATCTAATTAAGGACTTTGAAATTCTTCTTCAAATTCTTGGTATAATCCAAATATAAAATGGGCTAAATTTAAGCTGTATGTAAATATAGCTAAAAACCTTGAAAAAGGCAGAAACAATATTTTATACACAGACATAATTTCCGTTCCTTAAATAAGAACCTTCGTAAGTGTCAAAAACAGAACGACAAAAGTTACATAGAAAAGCAGAAGAAACTACAAGCAAAGTACAATAATCAAATTAATTAATCGTAAATTAATCGTAAATTAATTAAATTAATCGTATAATAATTAAATTAATAAATTAAATATAATTAGTTTATTATTTTAAAAATATGAAATGAATAAAAGATATCTAAGTTAGTAAATATGGAGTAGTTAATGATTGACTTTAGAAGAACTGCTTTCGTCGAAATCTTAGATATCGATCTTCATTAAGTTTTAAAATGTCTGAGAGTCTCATAATAATCTTTTTTCGTACCTTACTTCTATTTCTGTGAGATTAGCTTTCTCAATATTACTCTATTCAATCTTATTTTCCTTTGCTGTATCTTGCTTGTAATTTTTTCTGCAGTTCTGTGCCTCTACCGAATTCATTGCATTTCGACACTACAGAAGGTTTTTCCTTTTGAACCAAAATAATTGCATGTATGTCGGTATTCGCAACATTAATTTTACACTTCCACGTTGTTTAGTTTAATCTTAGTAATAATTCTAATAATAGTGCATAATAATAGTTTTAAAATTATAAAAATTAAGCATTTTAGTTTTGTCCAAAGTTCATAAATGAAAAAAGGTTCATAACAATAAAGAGCAAAGAGCAAGCAAATGCATGCATACTTAATTTTTCATGCGAGTACGTGCAGACTTTTTATTTAGTTTTTGTTATTCGTGTTTGAATAGAATTTTAGGAAAGTATCTTTCGCTTAGATGTTTCCTTTTTATAAGGTATTGACTTCTACATTCTTCTCAATTCTGTAATTAATGGTTGTATGAAATTTTGAATATGCGAAACAACATGTTACGAGAGAAATTCGGAAACAATTTAGAATATTTTTTTAAGAAAATGAATTACTGTAAAATATACTTAACAGTGATGCTTATTTATTTAATTATAAATTTTGCTTCCTGTATGTAAACAATTAATACATCATAGCAACTTTTAACAAATAAGTTTTTTTAGTCNTTTGAAATGTCTGAGAATTTCCTAATAATCTTTTTTCTTATCTTACTTCTATTTTTGTGACATTAACTTTTTCAATATTACTCTCTTCAATCGCATTTTCCATTGCTGTATCTTTCTTGTAAGTTTTTCTGCATTTCTGCGTTTTTCCTCTATCGAATTCATTGCATTTCGACGCTACAGAAGGTTTTCCTTTGTGAACCAAGATGATTGTATGTATGTCTGTATTCTCAACATTAATTTTACACTTCCACGTTGTTTAGTTTAATCTTAGTAATAATTGTAATAATAGTGCATAATAATAGTTTTAAAATTATAAAATTTAAGCATTTTAGTTTTGTCCAAAGTTCATAAATAAAAAAAGGTTCATAACAATAAAGAGCAAAGAGCAAGCAAATGCATGCATACTTAATTTTTCATGCGAGTACGTGCAGACTTTTTATTTAGTTTTTGTTATTCGTGTTTGAATAGATTTTTAGGAAAGTATCTTTCGCTTCAATGTTTACATTTCATAAGGTATTGACTTCGACATTCTTCTCAATTCGGTAATTAATGGTTGTATAAAATTTGGAATATGTGAAACAACATATTGAGAGAGAAATTCGGAAACAATTTAAAATAATTTTTTAAGAAAATGAATAACTGTAAAATATACTTAACAGCGACGCTTATTTATTTAATTATAAATTTTGCTTCTTCTATATAAACAATTAAATCATCATAGCAACTTTTAACAAATAAGTTTTTTTAGTCATATAAATTATTGTTAACCTATTTTTTCATAAAATGGTTTTAGTCGTGTAATATATAAAATGATTTAAAATTTATGATCTTCTCAAAACAAAAATCTAAAAATTTAAAAAATAAATATGATTTCAAAAATGAAAATAGTATTACCACAAAAATGCGTACAACAAACCACAAAAAAATTAACAAAACCAAACAAAGTTTAAAATGCAAAATAGTGGATTTGGTAAAATTACGGGGCAAAAAGTCAATAAGCATCATGTGACATGCAATTGGGAGTCACTTTTGCAAATATAACGAGTAGGCTTTGGGATTTATGGGGTTTGGGAGTTTTACGTGGAGCATTCCCATTCTTAAATTTTATCCCACTTACGTTGCTTTTTGTCCACTGGATGCCCTGGATAAAAGGAAAATCAAAAAAGGCTATTAGCACCAATTCTACCTAAGGTTTTTAAAACTAATTTGCTTTAAGCGGTTCATAAATTAACTGGATTACAGAGCTCTGAACTTAGAAAGTATGAAACCGATTCAAATCAAAATGTTCATCAAGAAGACAACGCATAAACCAAAAATAATACAGTTAGATGAAACTGACGATTGTTTTTGTTCCTAATTTCACACTAGCTTAGTCACTTAATAATCACTTTCGTTAAATCAATGTACGGAATATCTAATTTTATTAGAAAAAAAACAGTCAACTGATTAAAATCTAAATATAATTTTGCCATAAATACAACATTTACAACACCGAAAATAAAATTTCTATGGCACTTCAAATTTTGTATACATTTCATGATACTATCTGTTTTATGAAAAATGTTTTTATACCAGTTTATTTTCACTGCCTAAACATGTTAAAAACTTTTTTAGAAGCAGCAATTACATGCTCTAAAATATAAATACAGAACTGAATTTTTTTAATCTAAAAAATTTAGAAACTGTTATAATTTTACATTTGACATTTTATTGTATCATGTGTTTTACGGTTTTATAAATTTATGTAATAATTAATTTTTTCAAATATTTGGCTTAAAAATTACAGTACTTAATTCAAAAGGTACTGTTTTAATATTAAATTGAAATTTATTAAAAATGTGATCGAATTTTTATTACATGAAATATACATAAGCTTTGAATAATTTTGTATAGTAATAGTGATTCATAAATATTACTCCTCAACTATATTAATCCATCATTTACTCCTAGGCAAAGAGCACTGCACCAATTATTAAAAAAATAGGCCATTTAAGCAACAATCATAAAATATCTAAATTCTAATATATGCATAAAATATTTTTTCTAACTAATTATAATAATCATTGCTATAAAAATGCTTCTAAAGCAAAATATTTCTAAAACGTTGTATAAAAATGTTACAAAAATTGCCACACAATTAAGTCTGCTATAGAAGCAGTGTTAATTGCGTAAAGTGCAAGCGTAATTTATTTAAAAAGGGGAATCAAGATTATAAATTTTTTTTAAACTTATGATTTAGAATTATGAATGCTTTTTCTTAAAAAACATTTGCTTATAATGAATTATACATGGCGTTCCTCGTTGACCTCCTTTTATTTATAATTTTTGAATCCTTTGCCCAAAATGAAGTCAAAAAATTATACACAAAAAAGACTGCTAATTAAGATTTAAGCGTGAAAAGAACTATCAAAAAACATTATTGAGAAAAGACTTGAAATATCAAAGCATTTTTTTTATTGCCTCATAAAATAAGAAGTTATTGAAAGGCAATTATTAGAAAAACCAAATGTTTCATCAGGCAATCAATCAGATCTTTATGTTATCAATCCCTTCATCCTCACTCGTAATGTGAAGTATTTTAAAGTTTTTCTCTTTCTTCGTGATTTAATCGATGATTTACTATCTCTAATACGTATTCTGTTTTATTTTATTTTCACAAGAATTTTAAGACTTTGTATTAAGGGAAGTATTTAGGAACACCATATATATTTTAAACATAATTATATACAATTGGATATAGCATCTCATGATAAAAAAGACTTTTTTTTAATTTTGAGTATGTAAAAAAATTGTATATCAAATAGGTAATAAACTTTCCTTTCGATGCTCTAAAAGCTCTTGATTTTTTCTCTCTTAAATCAATTAAGTTAAATCAACGAAAGAGAAACAAAAAGTTTTCAACGTACTTCTTCCTAAAAAAGAAAAGAAACAATGATTAAAAATACATAAATTAATTATAAATTAGAAAAATCTATTTTTAATAAATATTTATGAGGATTAATATAATGAAATTTAAATAATTATCATTTTTACGATTTGAGATGACTGGGGTAGTTTCATAACAACTACAAATACAGTATAAAACGTGGAATTTACTTTGGAGATAAAGTGCCTTTTCTTAGAGGATCGTATTTCAGAAAATTTCTGAAACAATATTCAAAATGTTTAAATCATTTAAAATGATATATGGCTGTTTATTTTTAGTTGTAAAATTATTTTATAATACAACATTATGGTTTTTAAATTCTATCCTGTTTTCAATAATCAAACCTCTTTTTATCAAGAATATACATTTTCTACATATTTTATATTCAATGCCATAAATATTATACTACAAATACTACTACACAATAAAAAATAAATGCATTAAAAATATTAAACTACAAAATTTAGATATAAAAATACTATTTCATTATGCCCTTTTATATAATTATATTGGTTTTATTGTTATCGAATTTCCGCATATTTTCAATTAAATGCATAAACAAGAAAATTGGAAATTTTTTAAAACTTTTTAACCATCTATTTAAATCACTTACACTTTTTATGAAAATTTAAAAGATGTAATAAATGTAATTTTTATCATTATCATTTGGCAGAATATCAATTAAATACACTTCCCTAAACATGAATAATGTGTTTTACTGAAATATGTCTTAATTCTTTTTTTTAATGTTTTCTTGATCTATTTTTCTTTAATAATTTTCACCATAGATAATTTTTAAATACAAAAAATAATAACTTTAAGAAGTACTTAATTCCATAATTATTGCATCTCTTCTTAAAGTTCTGTATCAATCATAAATAATATTTTTTTATTATAAACCATAATTTTTTTTTAAAATTCTTAAAAGATTAAACTTTTTAAAATTTTGCTTCGTTAGGCTGACATATTTTAGACACGTAATGAGAAAATGTACAACATTTTTAAACCAGGACTAGTTTAAGCTCCTTTTTAACAGCTTCCAGTCACTTCTGTATGCTCTATAAATTCCCCAAGAGCAACCCTGGATCGAGGTATAGGGCACTCGACTCGCAATGAAGTAACCAGGTTCGAATACCAGCAATGGCTGACCTCTACAAATTCTGATTTCAGCTCTCATAGCTCACAATGCTGGCATAAAATATACTTAGTATTAGACTTATCATGGGTTATAATTTCATTGTCACCGGGCAAGCCAGAGGAAGTTTTCCTTTACATATTATAACAAAAACTCCTCCGCGAAGGCTATTTTGCCCCGATGTTTGATAAAATAGTAACTTGATTTCGGGGTCGAGCTCAAAATGACAAGATTGCGGATTTGATCGTAATCGTAAGTGGCTCAGAATAATCATAAGGGGCTCAGAATAATCATAAGGGGCTCAGAATAATCATAAGGGGTTCAGAATAATCATAAGAGGCTCAGGGGATAAAGCGTTCAAAGTTCAATGAGATGAATCCCATTGATGGCTGATCAATACGAATTCCTCACACAGGTCACACCGACCACAGTGCTGACGTAAACTATCCTTAGTGGTTAGACGGATCATGAGTTAGAGTCCCCTTGCCATCGAGCTAACCGTGGTAAGGTTTTGTGGTTTTCCTCTGATGTAACGCAAAAGCTGGTTAGTTCCATCCAAAAGGTCCACCACGAAAGCAAATTTCTAACATTACTCGATCCAGGAAGTCCCTTGTCTTCTAGATTAGGCTCAAAATTACAAGGCTATGCAGTTCAACGTTAGTATAGTAGTAAAACTCCAAAGTCGTAGTAGTACCAAAATTGGATCGACTGTTCAACAACGGTTATAAAATTGATAGGCGTAAACTAAATATAGATTTGACTGTTCAACGATGGTTATAAAGTAAGAATACTAATTCACATGAATCTAAGCCATTATTCCTTATTAAAACAATTTTGAATTTTTTATAAATACTAAAAAGCAGATGAAGAAAAATTTAAACACGTTTTCTTTCAAAGTAAATTAAACTTACTTTTCTACTTCTTCTTCTTCCTCCTCCTCTTCGCTGTAAAATATAATCACAAATTATAATCACATTTTTTTTGTAATTTTAATAAGCAAAAAACATTTCTGTTCTTCCTATTTATAAACAAATGCTCATTTAATAATAAAAGTCCTCATTGAATGAAATTTTGCTTTTTCAACTGTTTTAAAACTTTGTAATACAAGATATTTAATAAAAAAAGAGAGCATGAAATCCTAATAACAAAAGTGTAAAACTTTCTTTTAATCTTATGAAGAACTTGTTTAAGTTCCACGCTGCAAATTATTCTAACTAAATACAAATAATGTAAAAAAGGTATTGATTATAAAAATGCTTATTAATTACACTTTTATGTTTTAAAAAAATTAATTAAATTAGCTATAGTTTAAAAATAAGCATAGTTAATAAAAAATTATATCGTTTAAAACTTCCAAAAGTACACTTCATTCACTTAAGAACGTTAGTCATTTCATTCAGAAAGGAACATTACAGATATCGTGTTGAAAAGATTTTCTATTAAATAATGAAAATATTAGATTAAGCAAAATTTTGGATCCCTTTCTTTACAAATTTAAGTCTTTTAGTTCAAACAAATATAAATTCTTGATTGACAGAATCACAGTCAACAAAAAACAAAGCAAACAGAATCTAGGTAATACCTTTTAAGCATTTTATTTATATTTTATATACTAAAAATATGACTATATAAGTCATATTACAGACGACGAATATTTTAATGTCTCTAGTTTTCAATCTCACTGTTAATAAACAACATATTACACGATATTTTACATAATTTGCTAAAAATAGTAAAATAAGCAATATATTATCTACACAACCGTGAAAATATGAATACTTAATAAATGATATAAAAAATTTAGGGTCATGGAAGATTAGAAGGAGATATGAAATTAACGTGATATTCATGCATGCAAAAATTAAGTACAAACTACAGTTTGCATTTTGTAGTTACTTAATTGTAAGTAAATATCAACTAACTAATATTTATTAAACATAACAACCACTGTAATTTATGATATTATAAGAGCTTTAAAACCTAGACATTAAGTATCTATTTAATCATAATCAACGAATAACTTCCCTTTATACTAGCTTTAAAAAACATCAAAGTCTGTCAGCATATTCAATTCTTCTGTTCAAAAGCGAAAATGAACTTCATTTTGACTATAAGAATATAGTTAAATTTAAATTTGTTTTTATAATTTTTCTAATCCTGAACTTATCATAGAGCATTTTGTTGTTTCCCACTACAAACTGAAAACTTCTGAACAAACTGAACAATAGAATTAATGTTCATATTCACCGTAATCACTAAATAATATTTATTTCATTTTATTCCTTTCATTATTAAATATTAGTTGCTGTTAGATTTTTAAAAACAATTAAGATACGCATACTTTTTTTAAATAAACATTATGGTTAGTTAAATCAAAATCTGAAAACTAGAAATCAAACTAAAACACAATTGTTTAATTATTCACATATTTATATTTAAAAAATTAGCTCGTTTTTAACTAGCTTCTAACTATTTTTTTAGCTTAAGATTTTTTTTGTGATAATTTATTTAGTACTCATAATAAAGAAAAGCTACCTTTTTAAACTTTTTTTTTAAGAATTGCAAGAATAACTTGAAAACTTGGTTTAGTGTATAAATTACATTTTCAATAAAGAAAAAAGTTTATCAATCTAAAAATAAATTTCAATTAAAAATAAATTAATATTTTGAAGAATAAATCAATTAAATTTTATACTATCATAGCTGTTATTTAATAGGAATTTGATATTTCGCATGCGAATCAACACAATATTACCTTAAGACAAAAATTTCCAAATTAATTCATGAACAAAATTTATTTAATTCAGAAACGAATACTCCATTGAAAAATATTTGTTCTAAATTACTATACATCATTTGAATATTTAGTAATTATAATTCATTGGCACATTAAATACATTTTAAAAAATCAATTCATACATTAAAACATAATAATACTTTCTAATTTAAAATTTATAGGTGCTATGTCGGAACAATATGGTGGAACATTGGAAAGTATCAGGATTGAGGTTCTCCATGCTGAGGGAAATCTTCACACGGGATTTAAATATAACGCACAATGAGGCATTACCCTACCTTAATCAAATAGGTAATGTAAATTCAGGCCCCAAAAGCAATGCTTAGGAACAAGAACAGACCTGGCTTCAAAAAACTCGAACTTCAGGTGGATATGTCGTTTTCAGCTGCAGTACATGGAATGGTAAGATATATCAGGGCACTACGTATTATTTTTCTAAAAGCCTTTTAATTAAAGCATGCTTTATTAAATACCATGACTATCACATAGTAATCAGAACTTACATAGTTCTAAAAGAAAGAAAGTCTCATTAAAACCAAGCCTTATATCTAACAATTTGTGAGATTAATTAAAAATTAAAGCATTGTTTGCAAAACTATTGTAAATGTAATTAGAACAAGCATTTACCAAAGATGGCGTAGACAAATTTGTTGAGAATAAGGGCCCAAGAACAAAAAAACTTCACCCCTTGAAAAAACATGAGAAGCATCAATTAATGAATTTGAGATCCGCGGTGGCTCAGGGGATAGAGTGCGCACCTCCCAATGAGGTAGCCCAGATTTGAATCCTAATGGCTGGTCAATACAAATTCCACATCCGGCTAGCATCAACTACAGTGCTAATGTAAACTATTATTAGTGGTAGATGGATAATGGGTTAGAATACGTAAGGCTAACCGGTTTTAGGTTTTCGTGGTGTTCCTCTCCATGTAACGCAAATTTGGTTTATTAAATCAAAAAGTCCTTCGCGAGTTCTAGATTGCCCATTACTCGATCCATAATTTCTTTTATCTTCTAGGATGAGTTCAAAATTACAAGGCTACGGAGTTGAACATTGATAGTTGTAAACTCAGAATTGGGTCGGCAGTTCAATGTCTGATATAAAGTAAAATAAAATTAATGAAGATGGACCTGTGATATTTTGATATGTTGTCATCATATGGATCGGGTACGCTCACTGTGGGCACCACAATCATATAACTATATGTCCATTTTAACATTCTAGGTTTTTAGATGTTGGGTAGGTCTTTCGGCCAACCTAGATGTATAGGTAAACCTTTCAATCAACATCTTTACGATGAGTGCGCAGCTGATAAATTTATTTTTCAAGATGGGAATAGCAATGTTCATATCACTGAAAGAATATGTGACTTATTTTATTAACCACAAACCCTCTTCTCAAATTACCTGAAGAATCATCAAACTTGGATCTCGCAGAAAATTTGTAGGATATACTATTGCTATTTGTTTCTATGTTATAACAGGGTGTGAAATGCCTAAATCAGCATCCCCATCATTTGGTGGATTTGTGCAATCGAATTTTCAAAAAGTGGCTTAACCTGAATGCAGCATGTATGCAAAAGCTAGTGGATCCCTTTTAACAAAATCCCCATGATTTACGAGTCAAGAGGTGAGGTTATATTACTACCTCAGTATTATTAAAATTTTCATTATTTCTTTAGGGGTGACTAATTTTTTTATCTAGAAGACTTATTTATAATTTGGAAAAAGAGACACAGATGATCTATTTGTGAAAAAATATTTGATGAATTTAGATATTTATTGATGAAGCAGCATTTAATAATTACAATTATATATATGATAATGAATTATCAATCATCATTTATTATGTTTACACACATTTAGCAGTTTCTAATTTGAACAAACCTGTCCGATGCAGTGTAAAATTGTTTTTTGCATTAATTTTAAAAGTTATTTCCGTTTGCTTTTGTTGTATAATAATTTGCCTTTAATATTTCTTAATTTGGGTAAAACTTGCATTAATTTAAAAATTGGTATACCGTGGTATAATTTATAATTATTATAAATTGTATGTGTATAATTGTATTGTAAATAAATTTATAATTATTAATAAATTGGTATGCCATGGTATAATTGGTATAATTTAAAAATTGGTATACCAATTTGGTATACATTCGTATACCAAATCCACACTTTGTCTTAAAATGTAATCAGTGGTGGAAAAAAATGAATTCGTGTGGTACTTAGGTTTGCTTGGTTGTAACTCAATGTTAAATTTAAATATTTAATAATAATTATTTGAACAAGTCTCGTTTTATTACATATACATTATACTTTTATGGTTTCAAACGTCTTTACATAAAAAAGAATTTTTTTCAATATTTAAAACTGTTTAAAAAATAGAAATTTAAAAAAAAAATAAACTGAAAAAAATAGATCATTTGTAATATTTAATTGCATCATTTTTTTCCAATTCTTAATTTCACAAAAAAAAATAAAACATAATCTATAGAAATTTATAATTTATGACTTGTTTTAACTATTTATAATTATAATATGCACGGATTGGCTTTATTTATTATTTATGAATATAATTTTTATTAACATTATCATTTTTAATATATAATTTTACGAACATAACACTTAAAAACCTTCCTACAATTAAACAACTTGGTTTCTTTTGAACAGAAATACTTGATTTATGTTATTACCAAAGACAGTTAGAGCTTAGTGTGATAATTGTACTGAATTATGTTTATAGATCAAGATGTTATCACAATACAAAATGGTATAAAGTAACACAAATGATACAAATTGCAAAAATTTGTAATAAACTAACTATCAAAATTTCACAATATGATGATAGTCGTGGTATTGTTGGTACAGAAGCGAAAGCAATTTACTAGATCTAACTATGACTAATATGAAATCTAAAATGTTACAGCTAGAAAATTATGCTACAATTTAAAAGAAAGACAATAAAGCTTAAGAATTGCAGCTTCAATACATTTTGACAGTTTTGGAAAATAGCGAGAAAGCAAACAATATATTGTTAGTATTTTTTAAAACAAAAAGCAAGAAGCTTAAAACCTGAATACTTTAACAATTCAAACAGTAATTTGCTTGCTTAACAATAATTTAGCATAGCATTCAATGATGGGTTGAAAAATCTTTGAATAATTTTTAATACAAAGAGTATTGTAAATACTTTAGAATTGTAAATTCTCTGAATACTTATAAAATTATAAAAACTGATTTTACGTTCTCTTCCTCATGAGATAGGGATACTTATATAAATATTTTAAATATATAACATAATATTCATTTTACGTAAGGTAAAAATTGCATATATTTTAAACAACTATTTTTAAAAACATATAGAAGTAATCAAGAAACATAAAAAGACAAAAAAAGTCATAATTTGCAATAATTTTCTATAATACCTGTATTCCCGGTCGGAATCTGCCATTAGGAAGTTTCAAGAATAAGAGAGAGAGAGAGAGCCTATAAAAAAAGAATTATTTAATATCGTATCATAAGTCATATACAGTTTATATATTTCACAAATACATGTAGTTGTAAATAATTAATTTTAAATAAATTTTTTAAGAAATCATGATAAAGTAAATGAAAGTACTATTATCAATATACAAATAGCAAAGATGTTTAATGTTTTGTTAATTTTTTTTCTAAATTTATCATATATTTAAAGAATGCACAATTTTATTTTAAAGCTTTAATAACAATTACTTATATTTAAAGTAATAAAAGTGACAATTTTGAAGAATTTTAAGATGCTAAAATTGATTTAAAGTTAAATGCAGAAGTTGATAAATAAAGATCACTGACTCACTCTTTTATCGTCGTATTTGTAGTCTATTATTTAAATCTATGTATTTGTATGTCTAACTATGTATTATTTAAATATTTAAACATTCCACAATTGTTTTTAAAATCTTTCAGTGTTAAAGAACTAAGGAAGACTAAATGAAATTAACTCTATCTTTTGTTCCACAATCTGCATAATTTAATAAAATACACTAAATATCATAAATAAACTATCTATTTATCTCATCGAGATATGCTTCATGAAAAGTAATTTTGTACTTATCAGCATTAAAACTACTAGAAGAATAATCAGAATATATTCAAATCCTTTTCAAACTATTTACTAAATATAATTCATAAAATATTTTTTTCGATAGCAAAATTCTTAGAAAGGAGAATAACATGCAAAGAAATAATCATAAAGTAATAATGTCCTTATGTCATTTATTCGTATAAAAGTTTATATTGACAACAAACTATCTATTATTCTTAGTTAGCACATGAATGCGACATTAGCGAGCTACTATCATAAGAAAAACTCAATCTTATTCCATCAAACAATATTTTTTTATAAGAATAAAAATATTGACAAGTAAAAATAATTCCACATCAATTCAATTAGCCATTCACATATGTTAAAGAACCATTCTTTCTAAATAATAAATAATCGTTCGCAGTATTTTATAGATATGTTATTTTTTTTAAATCCAATACACAAATAGCACGGCGATAAAAATCCAAGCAAAAACAATTAAGTGCACTTCACTGAAGACTATTCCAAAAGTTTTTAATTGACAATCCAAAAATCACACTCGAATCCTTGCTTTTGTAAATCACTAAAGTATTTTAACTATTTTATCCGATTAGGAAGACACCTTACCTATCTCAACCGTTCGCGCTGAGCAAAGAACAAGCCAGAAGAACAGCCCCAGAACCTCACTGTTCTTGCCTACCCAAGGAACTGGAAGACTTAAGTGGGATGCTTGCCAAACAACGGAAAAATTCCCAACACCCAGAACATTTTTAGAACCTGATATTTGGGAGAGGCTGTGCCTTAACTTGGCTTAGAATACCAAGGAGAGAGGCAGTCGGTAAAAACACACGGTTGCCATTTGAACCTACAGGTCTATTTTATTTCTGTAACTTTGGAAAAAGGTTGGGACAAGACGATCTCTTTGCAACCTACCAATGTTATCTCTGGATGCTTTATTTAGAACTCCGGGGGAAGTAGAGGTTTTTTTTCAGTTTGTTCGATTTTTGTAAAGGCTTCTTTTGTCTCTATCCATCTCATAGAAAATTGGGGCAAAAATAAAGATTGAGAAAGAAAAAATTAGGACATAACGCTTTAGTTAAGCAATTAGAACAACGGCCATGATTTTTTAATTATGGCCGTTGATTATTTTTTTCGAATTGATTATTTTTCTTTATTTTTTATCCATTAAAGGTGAATGAAAGTTTTTTAAAGTAAAAAGAAAAACGGTTAAGAAGAAATACCTCAAAACTTTTTGTAAACAATCGACTTTTTTGGAAAGTGAATTGGAAAGCATTTTTTGCTGTTTTTAATTTAAATAAGTTTTAGTTAACGTTATGATTTTACATCGAATTTTATACTCATTACATCTTCTAGTTTTTACTTTATAATAAATTACAAAATTCCCAGTTATATTTTAAACTAAATCAGGATTTTTTTTCCAAAAAAATTTTTTATTACAAATTCTTTATTGAGTTATATGCTCCTTTTTATTGGTTTTCCCCAAAAAATATAAATTTCGACGTGATAGGAACGTTATCATTAAACTATTGCTCCAATAACTCTTACTTTTGGAGCATAGTTTACTTAGAATTTAAGTAAAATATCCTTTAAATGAATTATTTCTCCTTAAATGTTATTCAAAAATATTTTACTAAAATTTTTACTAAGAAAATTATGGTCATTTTTTGGGATTTCTCAAAAAGTGATTGATGCTAAAATAGTAACTGATAATTCTTACATTAACCAGCAGATTACATGTTTGTTTAGAAAAAAAATTCCAGCTTGTGTCTTTATGTTTTTGATGTTTTTGATGATGCTTTTTTAACTTCATGAGATTCTGAGTTAAGTGACCTTCTTCGTGTAACGAAATGGGCCAAATATTAGATATGCCAACAAAATATTTAGATAGCTTTCAACTGATTCAAAAGTGATAGCGTGCTTGTTTCCTTGGCACACCTCTTAATATTTAATGGTTACTAGTGTCCTAAATATAATGGTGTTTATAAATATTATTTTTTCTTTATTATTTCGAAACTTTTTCAGATACTCTCTTCGTGTTTGGTTTAATTGTCAATGAGTTCGATTCACTAAACATCTTAATTTTATTTTCTTAATTTTTGCAAAGCTAATTGCTTTGACAAAATTGCCTCTTCAGGTAATAAAATTTTTCAATAATTTTGCAAATTCACAAAAAAAAAAATTTGCTCATCAATTTTTCTTTTATTGTTATGAAACTTTTTCAAATACTCGCTTTAGAGAGTCTTTTTCTATTTTAAGTGCTTTTAATTATCTCAAAATCTTAATTTTAAATTCTTAATTTTTTTTTACAAATTTAATTTTCTTGGCAAAGTTACTTTTTCTCGTAATAAAATTTCTCAAAGTCCTCGCAGCTTCAAAAAAATATTTTTGTATCAATTTTCCCTTTAATGAAATGGAACTATTTCAGGTATATGTTTTAAAGCGCCTTACTTTCATTTTAAGTTAGTTACGGTGATTCAATGTCTTCTTGCAAAATTTCAAATTTTTTAGCAGTTGCAAATAAAGAGTGCTTTTCAAGAAATTAAGCAAATGTAAATGAAAGGTGTTATTAAAGAAATATTTAAAAACCATTAATAATACTAATTAATAAGATTACCAAAACCAATAAATTCTTAAAAATTAGTATAAAGATTTTATTTAATTGAAATTTTAACGAAAAGAATAAAAACACGTTCACAAAGAGCTTTCGCACTATCTATAACCAAAAACTCTAATTTTGTCTTTAAAACCTAATTTACGTAAATCTGTCTATTGTATTGTAATAATTAGTTTTATAATATTTCATTACTTTTCTCTTTAATTTCGTTAAACTTATTTCGAGTTCATATTTATATTCTCTCTGTACTGTGTGTATGCTTGAATTAAAACTAACTTTCTTTCAAGAATTAGTCTATAAGTGCATATTTACAAATTTTAGATTTCAAGTTCGAAAATATAAAGTTTTGAATGAAAAATAATGACGAAACAAATTACTTATCAGTTAAAACAATTAAGTCCGCTTAATCAACCCAGCATGATATCTACATAATAGCTACTGCATAGTAGCTACATAATAGCTACTACTACATAACTAAAAATTGAGTTGAAAATTGAAAATATGTGTGTTTGTTAATGAAAAATAAAGTTTCCGCCTGAAATCTAGTTCACCTAGATAATACATTTCATATAGATTTTATTTTTGCTGTATCTTTAGAGTTTTATTTACAAAAAACGAAACTAATCTTTACGAAACTAGATTTGAAAAAACGAAAACTAAATAACTTAACAAAACTAATTGTTCAGTTGGTTTTTTAAACAAATTAAAGATATTGATAAAGAAAATTAAACTTCGGGAGCATTATGGGAGAGCTAAATATTTTTTTTTAGTTTGGTAAAAAAAATTGGTGAACTGTAAGTAATTATAGTTAGATTTGGAAAAAAAATTGGGATACACCATGTTAGTCAAAGCCTATTAAGCATTAGTTGTCATACAAAATTACCCATTTTGAAGGGTAATGAAAATATTTCATCTGACAAAAAAATTACTAAAGATTACGAAACTGCAACAGTAACAGTTCTTTCTAGTATTTCATAATGAAAACACGTGTTTAAAGATAAACAAAGAATCTAATAGAAGCAAAGTATCACTTTTCAGTCCCTCTGCACTACTATTATGACGTATGGGTATTTGCGATTAATAGAGATAAAATGCACTTTATTCATTGTAGCTTAGTGAATTAGTCATCTTATGTTTCTTCGCTTTAAAAGTAAATTCACCATTCCTTTCATGGTTTTTTTATGCGCTCATATTTCCATGTCTTTATGGCTACAGATTTGGATTGCGGGGTGATTTTTTTTCAAATGCGCATTTGTTTTACGCTTCTGCATTTAACTATAAAAACCTAAACCACATCTCGAAAGAAACAAAGATATTAAAGGAACGCATTTTTGAAATTTGGACACATTGAAGTTGGTTAGAACACGCGAAGTTGGAAAAGCACAACCTACAACGAATAGTCGTTCAGTCAAAACCTGGAGGTTACTGCTCCGCAATTTCGAAATATATTAATGTTAAAGCTCCATAATTTTGAGCATGATGGTACAATGTGGTCAGACTTGTGCGTGGGCTGCCTTCATTTCCCAATCTAGCTGGCACTTATCACTCTGAAACTGAGTGAGCACAAGTCGCATCAAGAAATAGAACCCCAATCTTCCTAAATTAAAATTTAGGTGATTGTGCAATTGTGGTTCATTACACGAATTCAATTACTTTAAATGACATAATCTTAATATATGTTAATTTAAGGAATTTAAAGCAGAAAATAGCTTTAATATAACTGACAGTTTGTTTAGTTCACGCAGTAACTGCCGTTGACAATATTATTCCATAGTCGTATTGTAACCT